AGGAATGCCCTGTTGGTCTGTCTTAAAATATTTTTAATAGTGCTGGGAGAAGGACCTATCTATGCACCCTTTCAGTCAGTATTTAGAACTTCTCTGCCATCAATACAATGTGAAATATTTATGTTCTCCAGTAGTTATTTAGGTCAGAAAATATCAGTATGGTGAACTCTCTTCAGTCCAAACTCTTCTTTCTTCAAGGAGTTCACTTCCAAAAAGATGGATGGAAAGAAATCTTTCAAAGCAAAACTCAGTATTTGTTTAGTATTAGACTAATTTAGGGTATATGAAGAAAGTGTTGTACTTGTTGCTTTGACATTTTTCTTCTGCATGAGTTTAGCTATAACAGAAGCCATGCAACATAAGGGTTTTGTTACTAGGCAGATGTTATTAAGTAGACTAAAACAATTGGAGTTTTCTTCTAATTTTATTTTTCTGTATCTGTGAAGAAACATTTAGAAAATCTTACTATAATTTCCAGCCCTACACTGATTTAATAAAGGCTTCAAATGGTTGAGCATTATTTAACTAGCCAATATAGTGAAGCTGAGGAAGAAAACAAGGTGCCTAAAGAGAGAGAGGGTATATGACTAAGAGGAACGATCTTATTTGGACTGGAAAGTTAGCTAGAGCATGTGATTATTCTGCAAGGACTCTGCAATTTATCTACCTGTGAGGAAATGTTACTCTGTGAGGCGTGTGCCCCGGGAAGTGAATAATAATAGTAATCTCCAGTTTATTCTGTCTCATAGCATGTGTTCTGAGGATGCAGTACCTGATTTTACAGCATCTGCAGACATAAACTTGAAGTTTTTACAGTTAACTCTTAAGCTGTAGAGCAGATGGGGGGAAGATGACATGTAATTTAATGCCTACTTATGCACCTTTTACTGTAAACACTAGATTCGTTCTTTACGATGTTAGTTTAATTAAGGAATTCACTGGATTCTGTATGTTATCTACTTATTAAGATTTCACCAGTGCCTTTATTGTTTACTCTTTTTATGGTCATTGGCAATAATCTTGTTGTGCAGAAGGGAAAAAGACGTAATCAGAGGAGTCAGTTTTATAAGCGCAATACGTGTCCATTTTTAGATCTATCTCTAGCATGCCTATTTTTTTTCAAAGTACACAAAACATTAGAACTGTTAACTTCTTTAACTTTTTGAACTATAGAATATCTATAGCTTTCTCAAATAAGAATGCTTAATATATAAGGATAATCTTGATTATTTTTCTCTCTCTTCTGAACTAGCCTCTTATTCCTAGAAGTCCTACAAGCAGTGTTGCTACACCATCCAGCACTATCAGCACACCTACAAAAAGAGACAGCTCTGCTCTTCAGGATCTCTACATACCCCCACCTCCAACAGAACCCTATGTTCCAAGGTAAAAAAAGATATTTTTGTGGACAATTCAATGTAAAAAAACTATTTGTAAAGTAACTGGCCGTTTTGTTCATACCTGTTTATCAGTCTGCCCTGTGGGATTAAGCTGCTAATACTTCATTTTGCAGGTGAACTGGTTATTAAGGGTAGATAAACTGAATTAGGCCCACAGTGATCTGAATTAGTGTCTTGTATGCAAATCAGTATCCTGTCTGATAGCAGCCTTTAGAAGAGAAGGTTCAGTGCCAGGTTCAGTGCCCTGTTTTCTCAAATATGGGGTTATCTACTGTCTGTAACAATCTCATACTATTTCAAAAGGGCAAAAATTATCTGAAACTCTGGATCTATAGCTAGGAAAAGAGTTTGTATCTGTTCCCTTGCCTGGTAGCCATGACGCAACAAGGGAAACTGAGCTAAAAGCAAGAAATGTTCAACTTCAACAGCAGTTTTGTTCTGCCCCATAGTGTTGTGTTTTTTTGTGGGTGTTTTTTGTTTGGTTTGGTGTTTTGGTTTTGTTTTGTGTTTTTTTTTTTGGTTGGTTGGTTGGTTGTTTTTTTTAATAGTATTAGAATAAATTGCAGGATTACATTTTAGTCTGGCTACTGTGCTAGATTCTGCACTGACCATCCTGTTCCCGGTAAATATATCTGAGGTCATCCATCACCTAGAACAGGCATTTTCATCTCTTCAGGTCTATGGGCTTGCTGAGTCAGAAAAGAGCAAATCCTCCTTGTAGGATCATCACCCTACCCTCACAAAACCTCAAAGGACTCAGTATAATCCAATAATGTACACAAACATTTCTTTCCTAAACTTCTGAGAGAATTGTGGCCTATGAATAGTAAGGAAGTAATTACCCAGAGGTCTAGGAATATATTTAAGAGGAATCAGTATTTTTAATGCTTCTATATTGTCAGACACAGACTATTATATGTCCAGTCAATGTATTTTCAAATTATTGCTTGCTCTTCTTTTAGTTAACTGCCTTGGAAGGGTTGTAAGGGCAGTGTGTCCTTTCTTGTCCCTGAGTTTTTTGCACCTGAGTTTTTTGTAGATTTTCTTATCAGTAACTCTTCTGGCCAATTAATACGATGTATGACCCGATCCTAACAAAGATTTGCTGGGGGTTATCCAAGAGTGAGGTATATGGCAAATTAAATTGCCTAGTGGGGAGGAGAAGTGGTGAGTCTATGATAAATTCTTACTTTTTGGATATATGAAAAACCTTCCAGGGCAAAAGAGTGACTTGCCACTTCATGATTTAGATATGACACAAGCCTTTTGTGAAGCCATGAACTCAGTCCTGTGTTCCTTCTTCATCCCTGCCTCATGTGTTACCTGGCTTGGGTTTTATTTCTTGGGGGAAAAAAAGAAGCCACTTTATTTCAAATGTGACACATATAATACAGTTGAACTTTCTCACACAATTACTCCAGTAGCTGTCTTAAAGTGACAAACAGAATACATAGTCTAGTTCACTCATTTTTTCTCTTCTAATTAAATAAAAACGTTGTCAGTCATGAGGCTTGAATTGTTCATGGGGATTGGATGTGTCTCTTATCTCTCTGAAAACAGTATTTTGTTATGTCTATGTAAATATTTTAAGGATATTGTTTCAGAAAATGCACAGAAAAAATCAAGTTTTAATTCTAACCCATTAAAATAAAAAAATGAAAAAAGAAACCCCAACCAAGACATAGTCTTAGATTTCTCTGTGAATGCAGTAGATATATGGTAAAGATCTGAAACTGAAGCTGTGCTGTCTTAGAAGTGCTACTAATCATGTTTACTACCACAAAAATACTTTTATTTGGTAAGAAATTCTTCCTCTTTTTTGAAGTATTTTAAGTGAATATTTGCTGCTCAGCAGTGTTTCACTTCTCTAGAAATCAAGATCTTCAAAATGCATTTTGATTATTTATTAATAATGTTTCTTAAATCATTATGGTAATGCAGTAGTTCAGACCAATTCTGATTGCATTTCATAATACATATTACTACAAGCTGTAATATTACAGAGAGATTAAGCTATGTGCATCTGATTTTTCTTTTCTTTTTTTTTTTTATCACCTTAATCCTAATGGACTATACTTGATTTCACAAACTTATCACATAGTATGCAGTGTTTCTGAATAATCTGTTTTGGCATTTCGTCAGCTTTTTTATTTTTAATTTATCATGAACTATATTTAAGCATGTCTTCATTTCAAGTATTATCTAACAGTTCAGCATCTGTTGCTCTGTTTGTTGTTGCTGTTCCGGGGGGGGGGGGGGGAATAAAAAAAAAACAAAACAACCAACCAACCAACCCCTCCTTTTGTTACTAGGATAGAGCAAAAGACTAGATATTTTGATGGAAAATGTAAAACTCTGAAGCTCTGCTAACTGGGTGAGGATAGCCACCCACAGTACAGCTGCTGACATAGCCACACACGGATGGCATGAGAAAGAGGAATCATCACTTTCTGTGTGCCACTTAGTGGTGGTCGTAAATAAATGCCTGCCCAAATTTGTTGAATACCTTTGGAGCTGAGAACTGAAGCCCTCATCTCTGGAGGACTATGGCAAAGGGTATTTGCCTGGTGCCTCTTCAATTCTCTCTCCGTGTTCACAAGGATCCTCCAGTTCAGGCCGCCCTCCATAAGGCAGAGGCTTCCTTGTGCCAGCCCCTGATGGTAGCTGCAAGCACTGATTAGCATCTGGCTGGTTTGTGTCAGTGTCTGTGTCATCTGCCAGGAGCCCCCAGCACTGTCACCACAGCTGCCAGCCCCCTCGCTGAGCCAGCACCATCCCTGCTGCGGGAGTGCAGCCGGGCAGAGCCAGGGTGGTGCTCAGCAGGGGCTTGCGGTGCTGCGCCCTCACGGCCGAGGCAGGACGGCCCTTGCTCCTCCCCCGGGGCTGCCTCGATCCTACAGGGAGGCTTTGTTTTATCCTCAGGTGGAGTCTCAGGGTGCCATGGGAAGGATGGGTTAGCGGGCTGACCAGCTTGGAACTCACAATGCGGTCCAAAGAGGCAGAAGCACTGCAACGAGGTGTGCATCAGGGCCCCAGCATCTTTCTTGGGTGCCTCCCATGCATTTTGCTGCCCAGAAATTAGTCTGATTAGGTCTTTTGCAGCCATCTCCAGGCAAAGTCTCACCAGCAGGTTTCCTGAGCTCTGCTTCATCTAGTACAAGGAGAGGGCTCCTACTCCAGGCTCAGCTTGCTCTGGTGTGATGCCTTTGAGTTGTTTGCGTTTTCAAAGAGTGGGACAGGGGCGTGGGGAAGGAACAAGCAGTCATCACCCTGGTGATCTGTACCCACCTTGCAAAGTGAGTGCCTTGCAATTCATTGCTGTGCTGGGATAGCAGTTCATGATGAGGTGCTACACACCTTATTTGGTACTGCATGGATGCATCCATACAACTTATACACCTGAACTGATTGTGCAAAACTATATCAAATGTCTGTAAGCCTTAGCTGCCTGGTTCTTCTTGCTCTGAGGTTAGTTTGCAAGGAACTAGATTGAAATTGTCCATGTCTGCCATATACTCACGTCTTAAAACTATCTGATGTATTTTAAAATGCAAGTATAAAGATGTAAGGTCAACATTATTTCTCTGCCCTACAGCACAACATGATGGGTAGATTCCAAAAAATAAGAAAAAAAGAGTAGCTGCGTGTCAGCTTACACAGGCTGTAAGAAAACTGAATAAGCTGAAGAATAAGATGTATGATTTAAGTGGCACATACATATGCATATGTGATGTGTGATCCTGATGTTTCCTGCTTCTATGAAACACTGTCATATTCCCATGTTTATTGAAATATTCACAAGAAAAAAACAAAACAAAACAAAAACAAACAAACAAACAAAGAAAAAAAAAACGATGCCTTATCACAATATATTAAAACCCTCTTTTGTTTGCTAAAGGGATGAAAAGGGGAATCTCCCCTGTGATGACATTGGCAGACATATAGTGGGCAAGCCAGTTCATACAGGATCCGAGTCGCCAAACTCATTTCTTGACCAGGAATATCGGAAACGCTTTAATGTGGTTGAAGAAGATGCAGTTTTATACTGCTATGAATATGAGAAAGGAAGAACAAGTGGTCCTGGAAGGAGAGAGAGCACACCAACATACGGTATGGCATTGATCTAATAAGGATAATCACTATTTTTTTATTTTAGGATTTTCATGCATCTGCTTTTGCTTTTAAGCATGAAAATATTTTTGCTGGCCATTGATTTTGCTAAGAATTCTGTGCTACTTTAGTCCTCTACCACCCTAAGACCTTATTCTGTGCAAGAAAATAATTAATTACTGTGATACGTAGGGCAATTTGAGTTTCATATTGAAGATTTTTCTAAATATAAATCCTATAATTTTGTTATTAGCTTAATTTTCTAGATTATGTTTCAGTATCCTTTTGTTAAAACAAACAAAAAAAAACAAACCCAGAGTGCCAGAAGACCACATATTTTTACAAAAGGTACAGGATGGAATTTTTCTTCCAGTGTAAGAGGAAGACTTGCATAGGTTTAGGAATTCAGTGTTAGAAAAATTTACCCAGGTATAATACCTTTAAAGATCAAAACCACTTCAGATTTACCAAGAGATGACGTGCTGCGTTCATGCTGCACTGCTTTCTTAAACTATTCTGTTTTTTCTTACTCCCGGAAATGAAGTATGAGTGATGATAGTATGCTAGATGTAATATATATGTTCCTCTTTATTTGAGGTTATCTGTTGTTTAAGGAAGAGTTTTACATGTAAACACAAGTGTATTCATGTTACTTCATGATCTTCGATTTTAACTTATTTAGGGTGAGAACTCAGAAAACATTTCTGGTGTGAGTTTTGCTCCTCACACCTCTGTGCATGAGGTTATTTTCTCTTTGACTCTGTTGGAACTCTTCCTTTAGCTAGCATTGTTGCAGCTTTGAACAGAGGGAATTGGTTTTCTGTTGCCAAGTATAAAATTGTGTAGGCATAAAATAGTTAGTATGCAGAAGAAAACTAAGAGGAAATCTTGTGTTTAAAAAAGATACTTTGACTACCATGGTATTAGCTGAGCAAACACTTGAATATTTTTTTCACCCTACTTAAACTGAGCACAAGCTGTATGTTGGAGTTGTTATAGTAATCCTGACATCATATGCCTTTGGGAAGGTAGAATTAACTTTGAGAAGAAGATATTAACTTATGAAGAAGCATAGATTTAGTACATCATGCAGCCAAGCTTCAGAATCACCTGGGAACTTTAATATAAATTGAGCTTGAGCTGTATCTTCAGGACCTGAAGCAACGAGTTTGTACAACATTAAAGGACGCATTTTTATAAGATGCACCCTTTCTACACAACTACACAATTTGGCTGCAAAATCCTATGTATCCTTTTGATTTCAAAGTGTTTTCAGATGTAACCATACCGTAGTGTATAACTTAACTGCCAAGTTCTTGAAGTGGATGTATCAGTGTTTTTATTTCAGTATTTCAACTATTACAGTTGGTTGATGCAGTCAGTTCCATTGCCAGAGATGTACTCTTTGTTCCAGAGGTTAAATTTTAATACTTGTGGTCTAGAGTGAAGAAGAACACATTTCTTCTTCAAGGACTGTTGAATTCATTACTTTGTTACAGGATAGCTTCTTTAGCCTTTTTTTCTGTTAGCAGAAAGGGTTATAAATACATGGATCAAAGACTGCACTGAAATCAGTCATTATTTAACACATTTGCTTTCACATTTGATCTCACTTCATTTTTAATGAATTCACAGCATCGAGTCCATTTTTATTTAAGTGTATTTTCTAAAAATATTATCATTTCAGCATTAAATTCTGAAGTTTCTCACATGGCACTTGTTAGCATAAGATTTGTGGCTAGGTACGACCTTGAGATTTCACAGAAATATGGAAAATAACAGTAACACTCTTCTGGCTTATGGTGATCCATTAAAGAAGGTCAGAGTTCTGAGTCCTAGAGAAACAGTTGTTTTCAACAGATACTCATCATTAATTATGTGGAGGTGTTATTTTTTTTAAAAAAAAGTATTTCTCAGCCCTTCGTCATGAAAGGTTAGTAGGGCCATTGGTAATTTCTGTATTGGAATCTTTTGACATTTTTTGACAATGTTAACAGAGATATTTTTCTTTCATGCTCTTACTGGCTTCCTGCTGTTGTAGAATTGTTGCTAATTGGCCTCAGAAAGCTTCTGCTCACATCCCAAGGAAGAAATTTTCCTGACTGTAGTCACCAGGGAAAACAGGTTTAGGGAATTCATGGAGGTTAACAAGAAGGAGATTAACAGAGGTAGCAGGCAAATGAAACTTGAGTTTAAGGAAAAAAACAGGTTCAGTCATTGCAGTTGTACTGCCAGATAAAAAACATGCACTTTGAACAGCTCGAGATTTTGTAAAAAATTTGTTATGGTTATAGCTTTTGAATCAGAGTTCACGTGATTTTGTAGCTTTTGTATCTTTCTAAGTTTGTGGGTCCTTTCAATAAGGTACTGTGAGTTCAGCCTTACAAAGAAGAGAAAGTTGTATTTCTAGGAAAAGTAACTGTTGAAAGTTATTGCTGATCAAGTGAACATGAGCTGGACACATCCCAATTCAGGAAATTATTTATTAACTGTGTGCTCTAAGGCTCACCTGGCTTCAATTGGACTTAAGTATGTGTCCATAAATAGTAAAACAAATTATAAATAAAACGTTAAATATATATGTTGTATTTCCTGAGCAATGATGTGTTGATGACCCGATTCTCTGGTTTGTACAGATCATACATATTTTTGTCAATTTTTTAAAAGACAATACAACCTTTTACTATTATGCTGCCTGCATGGTATTGGTGCATTTCCCATGGACACCATATCCAATAGTTAGATAGACATGTTTCTATATTTGTTTTCATTATAAACACATCCTTCTTTTTCAATGTGTCGTGGATTTAACCTCAAAATTACGGAGTAAGGCTGATCACCATTATGTAGGAGTTTTCTACTGAAATAATTAAGAATTATTCTGAATTTTTTACTTTAAGCTCTGCTACTTTAAAAAAAAAAATATTTTCCACTTTCTGATTTTGTGACCAGTAGATAGATTCAAAAAAGAGTGAGGGCTGACCTTTTGAAAACATTTTGTTTTCAGTCTGCCAGATATTGTGCCATATGCTACGTTACTCTGTTTTGTTTCAATATACTGTTTAACTAAAAAACTTCAGACCACTTTAGCTAACCCCACTAAGTCACATAGTACACTTTCACTGAGTTTCCAACTATATTTTTGGAACCCTGACGCAGAAATAGTTCACAGCGTTTTAAAAAATCATTTTAGCAGCTTCCAAATCAAAATGTAAAAGATTGAATAGTCTTTAGCTTTTCTGTCCCTTGCTGTCTGAAATCCAAGTGAATTTACCAATAGTAATGTACTTTGCTGTCTATGGATGAAATGCTACAAAACAAATTAGAGGTAAAGGTTTTTGCTTCTTAGTCACAGATGGATCTTCTAAGATCACCAGCAAAGATGCTATTTGTGAAGGTGCTTAGTGATGTGGGCATGTTTCTGGTACCAGCAATTCACATATGCTTTAAAACAGTTCTCTCCAGGTGTGTGCTGGGGGCTTCTAGAATAATAAATAGATACTGTTCATTGAAAACTAAAGTAATTTGAATGCGTTTGTCAATCTCGTACATCAGTCCACTGATGATTTTGTAGGGCACTGGATTTATTTTTTAAACTTAAAAACAATGATTAACTACTTAGCTGCTTCTTGTCTGTTAAAGAAAACAGAACTACCTTAACCTCTTGTTCAGAGGCGATGCTGGATCCTCTTTCCCAATCAACCCTGTACAACAGCAGCTTAGCACATAATTTGTTCTTTCTTCTAAAGAATGTTAGTTTAATGCTGCTTTATAGTGCATGATCTCAATTTTTTCCTCTGTTTCCAGGGAAACTAAGGCCTATTTCTATGCCAGTAGAATATAACTGGGTGGGGGATTATGAAGACCCCAATAAAATAAAAAGAGATAGTAGGAGAGGTAAGTGATCTGAACACGAATCTTGTACAAGGCATTATGGGTTTTATTATGCTTTAAGCTATATATTTCAACCTCATTTTGCTGCTTGCTTAGATATATATTTTTGTGAACCTGTTTTGGGTTCTTTCATTGCATATATTTAATTGCTTGCAGAGCCTCTGCTAAGATTGAGGAAATTGCTCAGCAAGGCAAAAGAAAATCATGACTTCAGAGCCCTACAATTTGACTTAAATTTATACTGGCATTTCATTGATTCATGTATTATCCAATTCATTTTGAAACTGGCCTTAATTTTATAATGCTACAGGAAAAATTTATGATTATTACTGATAAATATTGTTATGCTTACATGAGAATTATGTATTACATTTCTATGTGTTCATGAGTTCTTCATGGATGGAAAAGGTTCCAGAGTAGTATGAGATTCACCTCAAAATCATTGAGAATAAGTTCTTCAAAATTCTGGTTTGGGACGCTCAGATATGTAACTTCATATACGAAATTATAACCTCTGAGATGGCTGTTATCGCCCAGGAACAAGATGTTACAGTAGTAATAGAGATTTTCATAAAAATATTAACTAAATATTAAGTACAGATCAAAAAAGAAAACACTGTTATGAATTTATAGGAAAAGAATACGAGACAAGTCAAGAAGTATTCTTATGCTGCTGCATACATTCTTGCTCATGCTGCGTGTCTGTGCAGTTTTGATCTCTTAATCTCTTAAGAAAAATACAGTAGAATTGAAGCAGGTTTAGGAGACAATAAAAATGATCAGATGTTTTGAGTGACTACCAATCTGGGGTCAATTTAGTGGGCTGAGCATCATCCTTTTTTGGAGAACTTAGGCAGTTCATAATAAAGGTTTATAAAATCCCATATGGAATGAAGTAAGGAAATAGGCTTGTCACTGTTTTTTTCCAAAATGAGACCCAAGAGACACCAAAACTCCTGTCAAGTGCTGGTTAAAAAGTGAAAGAACTGGCTTCTTACGCAGCTTACGTTTAGACTAAGGAACCTCTTGCCACAGGAGGTTGTAGATGAGAATTCACATTAATACAATAAAAGACCAGACAAGTTATGAAGGACAAATCTGCTGAGGTTTCCATTGCTTCTGGCTCAGGATGTCCCTCAGCTACAAGCTGGTAGCTAGATGCTGGAAGAGTAGTTGATGATACAGTGAACGATCTTGAATGTTCAAAGCAAATTAATTTTGAATGTATGGCACAACAGTAACTTTTATTCATTAGGATCTTGTTTTAAAAAAGAGGTTGCAGATAAAATTATAAATGTATCATTAGACATTTTTTAAAAACTTCAAGACAAAATTTATTGATGTGGGGCTTCTTTTGTATTCAGTTCCTCTTCTTGTCAAAAACACCAGGAAACTGCAAGGTTCATGAATTTTCCCTATGAAAAGATTGCTTTCTTATTATATCCAGACCAAAGAAGCAAGTGGTCTTTGGTTAATGAAATAGTCTTGAAGAGTTAAAACTGGCAGTAGATCTCAGCAAGAACATTATATATTTTGGAATCAGCATTAACATACATACAACAATTCACAATGGTGTTTTATTTTTTTCACAGAAAATTCATTGCTTCGCTATATGAGCAATGAGAAAATAGGTCAAGAAGACTACATGTTTCAAAGGAATAGCAAAAAGGATACTGGGAAAAAGTCCAAAAAGAAGGGAGACAAGAGCAGTAGTCCAAGTCATTATTCACTTTTGCCTAGTTTACAAATGGACTCATTGAGACAAGAAGTCATGGGCACACCTGGACCAGAAACTGCTTTGTACCACGTGAGTAAAATTAACATAAACAGGAATTGCTGCTCTGTGCTTGTGATGAGAGACTGTCTTGTTTTTATAGTGGTGTTGAATCCTTTTTTCAGCTGATGCTGTTTCACTGATTCCTATTCTTTGGACAATAGCTAGATCTCAGAGAAATATTTTAGATTGCATGATTTTGCTGTTACAAATGTGGGTTGGGCACTCGTGTTTATTTCCTTTAACTAGAAGATGTCATGTCTGAAATAGTGTGTGGTATCTCTGGCTTGACTTATTTGCTGCTGATGGCAAGGGAAGAAGTAACAGTTTTCAGATTGGTTAGAAGCCTTCTTTCCAGCATCTATGTCACTGCAGTATGCTGTCTTGTCAGACAACTCCTTTACTACAGGTACTTGAAAGGCTTGATAATGTCAGAAAAACTTGTGGGAGGCATTCGTTTTTCTTCTGAGGTAGGGGGAGCCTTAATGCATGTAACTCTTTTTAAGATATTGCACTACATTTCTCAGGTAAATGTGATGGAGGGGATTCTGCTGAATAGGATGTAAAAGGAAAGTTGCAGTAACATGCTAGGTTTTAAATATGTCAAGATAGAGTTAAAGAGCCAAATTTATTTTAGGTATGATGTCATGTTCACCCTGTAAAAGTAAAAGATGTCATTGGAGAGGAATATACACACAGTAACTGTACAGCAAAACAATAGAAATAACTGAAAGTAATTTCAGATACTTACAAAGAGTATGTCCTTTAGATTGCCAGTGTCTAAGGGAGATGGCAGTGTGGGCTTGTCAGGAAGTCTGCTGTGAAAAACTGGCAGGTGGAGCATCACTGAACCTTTAAGAGACAAATAACTTGTCCTGTTGTAAAGCATCACTACGCATTGATGGCATTATAATTGGTGTAGATTAATTTAAACTAATGGACCTTTTCCTTTTACACCATCTGAGTGCTTGGTCCACTGACTTCTAAAACTCCTTAGTGTGCTGCAGTGTAGAGGTGAATCTGAGAAATTTCAGAGATGCCATTTAAAAGTAAGCGCTCAAAGTACGCTTCAATTAAATCAGGTCCCCAGATTCAAGAGCTGCTATTCCCTTTCTTTTTAATTTGTAGTAACTTAGGTATGGTGATAAACTTTTTTTTTTTTTTACATTATTATTTCCAACTTCAGTTCTATGTCTTTCTGCAGTTTGGAAATCTGATAGTAGGGATATTTCCATTTGCAAAGACAGACTGATAGATAGTGTTTCCCTAATACATGAAGCCAAGGGGAGTGCAAGTGTCCCCAAACGGTCCTCTTTGTAATGTCTGCAGTCATCCCTAGAAGAAATCTAATCAGTGCAAGAGCCCTTGAAATCAAATATTTACAGAACAAAATAGAAAAATTATTTGTGTAATGGTCGACTTTGCACTCTGTAGAGAATAGCGTGCAACACTTTTCTGCAACACTTCCCATATACGAGAAAATAGTCATCTCTCAGTAACATTTCTTTGTTAGTATACATTAAATTCCTGACAGTGCAGTGAGAAAAACTTTTTTTAAAATTATTATTTTAAGGTGCCATCTTAGGTTTTCCTTGATTTCCTCTATTACCCATTAGGTCTAGTTTCCAAATTGTGTACAAAAATAATTTATGTATACAGGAACTGGAAGATTCTTCAAAATCCTGGTGTGGCATTTAATGAGCAACAGCAAACTTAGAATTGACAACCAGTCAATGTATGTACCAATCCACAAAGCTCCTGAACTGCTAACACCACAAATTCCACCCTTGTCTGCTGATCCTTTTTGTGAATCATTACCATTAAAGGATGTATCTCCATAATGCCATTAAATCTTCAATATCTGTTTAGAAGTTTAGTGGGAGCTTATTTATATAAACAAGTAGAAGTTATTTGTTCAGAATACAAATCAGTATTGATCTGCTAACTGACTTAGAAGCAAAATGCACAAAATAAACAGAAACAGGAAGCTTGAGCCATTGATTTCTCCCAGGAAAAAAGAAAAGGATCCCTTGACAAAGCATTTTCATCCCTCTGCAGCTGAGTATTGCTGTTCCCATCACTGGAAGCCACCTGGCTGCCACAGTGCAATACTCTACACTTCCCTTTCTGTGGTGATAGCACCCAAGCATACTGGGTTTATGAAACACTAATCTAGGTTGCAGACGGGGCTATGTGTCTTTGGCACATAACAGAGCCAGAGGTTTTGTAATAAATTGGACAGAACTATTCTTAAAATCTTAAATACTGCAGTGAGCAGATAATGGACAGGGCAATACAGATAAAACACAAGGAACTAATATCTGACTGCAGTACAATTTTATTAATCTATAGATAATAAATAGGACAATGAAAACATACTTCATATTCAGATTGCATCTTAAATATCACTAAAAAGTGGCTGTCCTATTAGAAAATATTTTTTATAAGCATCAGCTACCTAGTTTTCACAAAGACTTTAGATTATCTGTAAATGAGAGCCTCTGGATTAGCATGAGTTTAGTGCAGAGAAATGGTGGCAACTCCAAAATCAATACTAATAGTGATGAAAGACACTGGGGATTTTGATTTGAGGTTTTGTTTGGTCTTGGTTTGTTGTTTTTTGTTTGTTTGTTTTTTGTTTTGTTTTGTTTTGTTTTTTAAGAAGTCAGTGTTTTTATCATACTAGAATATCAGATGAAGAAGGAATGCTGTGACTCTCTGCTCTGCGTGCCACAAGCCAGTGGAGTTTCCTGAAGTGCAGCTCGTACCAGGTGGCTGTAGTTGAACTCGTAGTGCCTCAGTTGTTTGAATTGGGTCCTAATACTACCAGAGAATACTCCACTAGGCTTGCTAAGTAGTCCCAATCCCTGATTGCTCTTCTTGTTAAAAGTTTGAGCTCAGCCTGTTTCCCTGGCTTCAGTGTCCAAACTTAATTATAAATGCACCTTTATCCTCTAGGTTTAAATGTTGTTTGTTACAAAACTTTATCTCCCAATACAGAAATGTACAGGTTATAATCAAATCACTTTGTAGCCATGTTTTGCTTAAGAGAAATAGAATGAGCATCCTGGATTTGTCATCAGACAGCGTATTTTCATATCTTTTCATCATTCTCATTATTCTTTCCACTCCTCCTAAAGTATCCTAAGCATCCTGCCTAAAGTATGTATGCCAGAACAGGATATACATTTCCAGGAGCTGGATAGAGAGGTAATATATTCCTGTTCACTAGCTCTCTATTTAAATATTTAAAAGACTGTTTACCCATTTTAACAGTAGGCTTGGAATAGGAATATTTCCAAGTTCATTGCTTGGTTCTTGCTTTATTTTTTTCTGTAATTTCATTTTTCTGTCATGATCTGCAAGACTGGTATTCCCAATCTAATAGCCTATGTCTTTCATTCTTTGTTCTTAAATAGATAACATTGTGTATTGTTGACCATGTTGAAACATGCAACTTCTTGGGTACACTTGCCAAATAATCCGTGCTTCTGAAGAAACTCTAAGTATGAAATACCAGAAAATAAGGGCTCTGGCCCCTCAAATTGGGCCCTCATAATGACCAGATTCATAACACGTAGTATTGAAGCTCCAAGAGCCTGAGATCAGCTATGCAATGGAAATACCAAACCTCTTATTTTGAAATTGTTTTTTTAGTATGCATACTCTGATTTAAAAAAAAATAAAATAAAATTCACACATTTAATTTCATTATGTTTTCTTTCTATATCTATTTTCTGTTCCCTTTTTTTCTGAATTCCCTGGGATAGAAATGGTGCTGCTCACTTAAGGTCTCATGTCACTCACTGGTCTTTGATTCTGTATTTTACCTTTATTCAGTGATGATTTCATTCTTTTTTGAGCCCATTGATAGAAATAATAAATAATTTTGAACTAAGAATGCATTACACTAGTTAATAATTAATTGTTCTTCAGATTCCAGGGCTCTTTGCTTTTGCATTTTGCAGCCATTGATGTATGCAGGTTGATTATCTTTTTACTGTGAAAATTTTCTGCAGAAAAGCAGATTTTACAATTATGCTGACTTTAACTCCTTGTTTCTACTGCTTTTATACATGGCTCCATAGAAAACAAAATTCTTTTCTTGAAAACCATACACTGATGAATTAAATTACCACAACATAAATGGTACCATTTTTTCCTGTAAACAAAGTGGATGGTGTTAAAAAATGGCCATGGTAATTCCGAAGTATGTGGTTGTTGTTTATTTGATAGAAGTTGTTTTGAAAAATGCCAGCAGATTTGAATTGTTGTATTCTGAAGTGGTCACAAGAATGTGTTGTCTATCATTTTCCTGACTATTAGTATATGGTATATATATAAAAATTTGCCTAAAATCACTAGGCTTAACAATGTTCTTTATATCATTGACCTGCCATTACAATCAAAAACTGTGTGATCAAGGGAGCATTTAAGTTTTGGCCTTGCAAAGTGAACAGCGTTCACTTGCATCCATTGAACATAATTGATGTGATAGCTGATGTAATAGGAAAAGAAAAACTAATTTGTGTTATGTCTGTGAAGTAATCAGCTATTGTATCCACTTACAATATTTTTTTTAATCCTCTCATACAAGGTCTCATCACCACTTTGCTTTGTTTTACTTCCTATCCCAGAAACTGTTTCCAGTGTATGTTGATTTCTAGCCAAGTTGTTCTTGCATTCTATTTTTCTTCCTCAGTGTTGCAAAAGAAATGCCAACACAGTGATAATGTTTTTATTAAGTCAAGGCAAACTGTTCAAGCTGTTGCTAATCTAGTGTGCAAGCAGGTGTTCAGTGTGATCTATTACTATAGATACAAGACGGTGCAGTTGAAATTGTCTTGAACCTTTGGGGCACAGGAGATGAAAGCTCTGACACATGATTATAGTCTTTTAAGTTCATTATATTATTCTGTATAGGAATTTCCTTGGTAGACCATGCTTTGTTTTCATTGCAGGAAAATAATGTGGTTATTTAGGAGGGAGATGGTGCCATGAGTCAAAAGAAGTTCCACATCAGGTTAATAATA